ACCGGATATATTAAGACTGCTTTGGTATAATTATTGATTAATTAATATTATGAGCACTTCACCATGAAGAAAAGCCTTCTGCCTGTCCACTGAGACCTATCTTAAGAACAATTATCTGGAGGGTGGTAGAATTAACATGTATATTATATATATATATATAATAACGTGTATATGAACTGAAAAAACTATCTACTTCGGAAGTAGATTTCCTTATGCTCTCTAATGAGATTCTTGAAAGTTTCTTTATTTCTTACCATGTTGGCTCTTAAAACTTTGAAGGTAGAAATCATATATTTTTTAAACTATTCACTAGTTCCGATAATACACATTTTGCATATGCAGGCAATATGCAATTTATGAGGGTGCCTGAAAGGTTTTCAGCCCTACCCCTTTTCCCAACATGTCATATTGTTGGGAATGCCATATTGTAGTTGTAAAGAGTGATATTTTATATGTTATTATGTCATTTAGGAGGGTTAGAGCAATTTTGCAGGTAATTGAATGAACCATGGCAGAGAAGAAGGTGGAATTCACAAGCATTCCATTCAATTATGAGGTGTCATGAAATTCCTCTTGCTGCAGAAGACAACACCAAAGGAAATTCATAAGAATATGATGGAAACATTGGGCAACCAGTGCCCATGATACTCAACAGTGAAGAAATGATGTGCAAACTTTCAGTGTAGCGAACTTTCCTAAGATACTGCAAAATTGGAAAGGCAAATCACAGCATCATCTCCTGAAAATATTGAATGGCCAAAACGTTAGAAGGACTTTTAAACTAGGTGGTGGTGGGGGGGGGATTGATCAGAGGATGTGAAAGTGAGCAGTGAAAAAAGATCAGAGGATGCCACTGGAGGCACTAGTGGTAGTATAACTAGTATACCAAAAACAAAGAAAGGTAGGCCAGCAGCACAAAAAGACAGAACATGTAAGGAGGAACTAACATGTGATTGTGCAAAATTAAAAGGCATGAACACAAATGCTAGAAGTCTAGCTAATAAAATGGAAGAACTAGAGCTTCTGATGCACGAGGAGGATTTCAACTTTGTGGGAATTTCAAAAATTTGATTTGACAGCTCAAATTTTTGGCTAGCAAATGTCCAGGGGTACTCCTTATATCAGAGGAACAAGCAGGGGATTTCAACTTTCCATATAGCGGCTGGGCAGAAGGCTCTGCTCGCTGATTTAAAGCTTGAAATTTCTTAAATGTCTTGCAGGACAATTTTATGTGTCAACTGGTGGATGCCCTTGTAGCAAACTTGCTCATCAGAGTTGGAGCGGAGTTCTCCTTCAACCCTTTTTTCTCTTTTTATTCGAGATATTTTCTATTTCTCAGCCCTCATTCCCTACCTCCCTCCCTTCCTGAGAGGCACATGTTATCTCCTGACAGATGGTGCGGGTCAACCAGGTTTGGTGCCAGTTGTCTGGGCAAACATGTAACCTTTCTCACCTACGTCTGATAAGGCAGCATTTCTCAGAGAATTGGGAAGCACTGACCCCAAAAACTGTGTAAGCCCCCACATCATAAAACAGATAATAGCTTCTCTCCTGGACTTAAAAGAGAATTGAACATTCCTCAGGTCAACTGTGTGTTTCATGTCATGGATTATGAAGCTGTTAGTTTTAACTGAGTTTCCCACTGACCACTCCCAAAACGTGTAGTAAGAGCCTCCTTCCCCTTTGAGAGGGACTTTTAAGAAGAGACAAGTTAGAGTTTTGACACAGATCTCCCAGCGTAACATCAATCTACCACCTGGGGAGACCCTTTGCAACTTGGATCTGCAAACGCAGGCATATGGGCAAGTAACTTAACCCTGTAATCTTCTTCCTAATTATCTCTTTGCTGTGTCTTTATATACATATACAGTGGGGATCGAAAGTTTGGGCACCCCAGCTAAAAATTTGTATTAATGTGCATAAAGAAGCCAAGGAAAGATGGAAAAAAAAATCTCCAAAAGGCATCAAATTACAGATTAAAACATTCTTATAATATGTCAACAAAAGTTAGATTTTATTTCCATCATTTACACTTTCAAAATAACAGAAAACAAAAAAATGGCGTCTGCAAAAGTTTGGGCACCCTGCAGAATTTATAGCATGCACTGCCCCCTTTGCCAAGCTGAGACCTGCCAGTGTCATGGATTGTTCTCACTCATCGTCTGGGAAGACCAGGTGATGTCAATCTCAAAGGTTTTAAATGCCCAGACTCATCTGACCTTGCCCCAACAATCAGCACCATGGGTTCTTCTAAGCAGTTGTCTAGAAAACTGAAACTGAAAATAGTTGACGCTCACAAAGCTGGAGAAGGCTATAAGAAGATAGCAAAGCGTTTTCAGATGTCAATATCCTCTGTTCGGAATGTAATTAAGAAATGGCAGTCATCAGGAACAGTGGAAGTTAAAGCAAGATCTGGAAGACCAAGAAAAATATCAGACAGAACAGCTCGCAGGATTGTGAGAAAAACAATTCAAAACCCACGTTTGACTGCACGATCCCTCCAGAAAGATCTGACAGACACTGGAGTTGTGGTACACTATTCCACTATAAAGAGATACTTGTACAAATGTGGTCTTCATGGAAGAGTCATCAGAAGAAAACCTCTTCTTACGTCCTCACCACAAAAATCATCAGTTGAACTTTGCAAATGAACATATAGACAAGCCTGATGCATTTTGGAAACAAGTTCTGTGGACCGATGAGGTTAAAATTGAACTTTTTGGCCGGAATGAGCAAAGGTACGTTTGGAGAAGAAGGGGCACAGAATTTAATGAAAAGAACCTCTGTCCAACTGTTAAGCATGGGGTTGGATCAATCATGCTTTGGGGTTGTGTTGCAGCCAGTGGCACGGGAACATCTCACGAGTAGAAGGAAAAATGGATTCAATAAAATTTCAGCAAATTTTGGATGGTAACTTGATGTCATCTGTGAAAAAGCTGAAGTTAAAGAGAGGATGGCTTCTACAAATGGATAATGATCCTAAAACACACCTCAAAAATCCACGGGGGATTACATCAAGAGGCGTAAACTGAAGGTTTTGCCATGGCCTTCACAATCTCCTGACCTCAACATAATTGAAAATCTATGGATAGACCTTAAAAGAGCAGTGCGTGACAGACAGCCCAGAAATCTCAAAGAACTGGAAGACTTTTGTAAGGAAGAATGGGCAAAGATACCTCAAACAAGAATTGAAAGACTCTTGGCTGGCTACAAAAAGTGTTTACAAGCTGTGATACTTGCCAAAGGGGGCAGTACAAGATATTAACTCTGCAGGGTGCCCAAACTTTTGCAGACGCCATTTTTTTTGTTTTCGGTTATTTTGAAAGTGTAAATGATGGAAATAAAATCTAACTTTTGTTGACATATTATAAGAATGTCTAATCTGTAATTTCATACCTTTTGGAAATGTTTCCATCTTTCCTTGGCTTCTTTATGCACATTAATACAAATTTTTAGCTGGGGTGCCCAAACTTTCGATCCCCACTGTATATATATTTTTGTGACATCTCTTTGTAAATATTGTATGGCACCTGTTTGACTCTTTTAGTAATAAATCTGTCAGGAATGGACTAGCCAGCAATGGTGGGACTCACCTGCCTTTTGATCTGCAGTACCAGGGCTGGCCAGCGGGTGCTCCCAGCAATCAGAGACCCAACTTTGCAGCCAGCTAACACCTGGAACTGATTATGCTGGGGTATTTAAGGGATGGCCAGACTTGCAGACTCTGCCTTGGTGTTGTGTTTCTCTTGGGCCCTGTATCCTGTTCCTGCTCTCTGTTCCTGTCTGATTCTCTGCTACCTGTTCTGATCCCTGGCTTGTCTGACCATCCCTCTGCCTGACCCTCTGTACTACGCTGCCTGCTACCTGTTCTGATCCCTGGCTTGTGACCCTGACCATCCCTCTGCCTGACCCTCTGTACTACGCTGCTAGCTACCTGCTGAACCTGGCCTGTGACCCCGACCAATCTCCGCTTGCTCCCCCTGTACCTACCTCCAATTGATATCGACCCGGCCTGCCTGACGACGCTTGCTTGTATGTACTGTTATCTGTGGGTGGTTGGTTTGGTTTGTTTGCACTGTATTATGTTTAGTATTGCACTGCGTTTATGTTTGTATTGTTAGTGTTAATAAATTATATTGTTTATCACATATCTGAAGTCTGCGTTTCCCTGCGTCAGTCACACACCTCTGGTCACACCTGGGAGCCCTGACATTACACCAAGGCCAATCCTGACCAGAAGTGGCTGCACAGGGAAGCCATCTTGGCTTGTTGCTGGGAAGGATGGATCTTGATGAGGTTGTGTATTTATATCTGCTAGTGTTTGATGACAGGGAGTATGCTTATCAAACTCTGAAGGAGTATCCCAGGGATCAACTACTAGAATGTATACGGCTCGCTCATGTTCTAGTAGATCAGGGCACAGAGTTCTCTGAGGTGCAGCCTTTGATTGAGGTTTGTGCTGAGTTGGTTTCATCTGGTTCCCCGAAATGCAGGGATGAATTTTTGCCACCATTTAGTGCAGACCAGGTAGAGTCCCTGGTGTGGTTATTAGAGGATGATGTGGGTTACTTTCTGGAGCGTTATTCCACATGTTCACCACAGACACTAAGAGATTGTATAAACGCAGTGCAGTCATTGACCAGACAGGCTTTGTGTAAGCTCAGCTTTGTTCAACCCATACTGCAGACATGGACAGATTTGTTGCACCCAGCCTCAGTCAGCTTACAAAAACCCAGTCCTGCTTCTAACTCTACTCCTGTATTCCCACCAGCTCCTCCAGTTACAGCCCAGTATACTTGGCTATCTACCGCATGTCAGTACCCTGTTCCCACTCGCTGCACCTATCCTGCCTTTAACCCTGTAAAAAAGCCCTCTGTAGCAACTGCTCCCTCTCCTGTTCCATCCTCCAGTTTTTCTCTGTCTCCAGCTGCTCCATTCGTTTGCAGACCTGCGTTTACTTGCAGTGCTCCAGTAGTTAAAACCAGAAAAAAGCGAAAATTCTTTCCAACCAATACCATCCTGCCAGTATCCAAACCGGTGAACCTGCCTTCCGTGACTCAGCCTGAAGCCTCTACTCAGCCTGAAGCCTCTACTCAGCCTGAAGCCTCTACTCAGCCTGATGCCTCTCTTCAGCCTGATGCCTCTCTTCAGCCTGATGCCTCTCTTCAGCCGGATGCCTCTCTTCAGCCGGATGCCTCTCTTCAGCCTGAAGCCTCTACTCAGCCTGAAGCCTCTACTCAGCCTGAGCCTCTACTCAGCCTGAAGCCTCTACTCAGCCTGAAGCCTCTACTCGGCCTGATGCCTGCATTCAGCCTGATGCCGCTACTCAGCATGATGAACTGATCCAGCCCGACGATCCTATTAGGCCAGTTGACTCGATGCCCGCTGTTGATCCAGATGATCCGGTACCTGATCCAGTGCCCGCTGTCGTGCCAATTGACTCAGAGCCCGCTGTCATACCTGGTGACCCGGTGCCCACTGCCTTGCCAGATGACGCGGTGCCCGCTGGCAAGCCAAATGACCTGATGCCTGGTGACCCAGTGCCCGCTGTCATACCTGGTGACCCGATGCCCGCTGTCGAGCCAGACAATCCGATACCTGATGACCCGGAGCCCACTGTCGTGCCTGTTGACTCGGAGCCCACTGTCTTGCCAGACGACTCGGTGCCCGCAGTCTTGCCAGACGACTCGGTGCCCGCAGTCTTGCCAGACGACTTGGTGCCCGCAGTCTTGCCAGACGACTCGGTGCCCGCAGTCTTGCCAGACGACTCGGTGCCCGCAGTCTTGCCAGACGACTCGGTGCCCGCAGTCTTGCCAGTTGACTCGATGCCCGCTGTTCCGCCAGTTGACTCGATGCCCGCTGTTCCGCCAGTTGACTCGATGCCCGCTGTTCCGCCAGTTGACTCGGTGCCCGCAGTCTTGCCAGACGACTCGGTGCCCGCAGTCTTGCCAGACGACTCGGTGCCCGCAGTCTTGCCAGACGACTCGGTGCCCGCAGTCTTGCCAGTTGACTCGATGCCCGCTGTTCCGCCAGTTGACTCAATGCCCGCTGTTCCGCCAGTTGACTCGGTGCCCGCAGTCTTGCCAGACGACTCGGTGCCCGCAGTCTTGCCAGACGACTGGTGCCCGCAGTTTTGCCAGACGACTCGGTGCCCGCAGTTTTGCCAGACGACTCGGTGCCCGCAGTCTTGCCAGACGACTCGGTGCCCCTTAGTCTTGCCAGATGACTCGGTGCCCTTAGTCTTGCCAGACGACTCGGTGCCCGCAGTCTTGCCAGACGACTCGGTGCCCGCAGTCTTGCCAGACGACTCGGTGCCCGCAGTCCCGCCAGTTGACTCGATGCCCGCAGTCCCGCCAGTTGACTCGATGCCCGCTGTTCCGCCAGTTGACTCGATGCCCGCAGTCTTGCCAGACGACTCGGTGCCCGCAGTCTTGCCAGACGACTCGGTGCCCGCAGTCTTGCCAGACGACTCGGTGCCCGCAGTCTTGCCAGTTGACTCGATGCCCGCTGTTCCGCCAGTTGACTCGGTGCCCGCAGTCTTGCCAGACGACTCGGTGCCCGCAGTCTTGCCAGACGACTCGGTGCCCGCAGTCTTGCCAGACGACTCGGTGCCCGCAGTCTTGCCAGACGACTCGGTGCTCGCAGTCTTGCCAGACGACTCGGTGCCCGCTGTTCCGCCAGTTGACTCGATGCCCGCAGTCTTGGCAGACGACTCGGTGCCCGCAGTCTTGGCAGACGACTCGGTGCCCGCAGTCTTGGCAGACGACTCGGTGCCCGCTGTCGTGCCTGGTGACTCGGTGCCCGCCGCTTCGTCTGGGGGCCCGAGACCTGTCGCTCCACCCGGGGGTCCGGCGCCCGCCGCTCCGCCTGAGGGCCCGAGACCTGTCGCTCCGCCTGGGGGCCCGAGACCTGTCGCTCCACCTGGGGGTCCGGCGCCCGCCGCTCTGCCTGAGGGCCCAAGACCTGTCGCTCCACTTGGGGGTCCGGCGCCCGCCGCTCCGCCTGGGGGCCCGAGACCTGTCGCTCCATCTGGTGGTCCGGCGCCCGCCGCTCCGCCTGGGGGCCTGAGACCTGTCGCTCCATCTGGGGGTCCGGCGCCCGCCGCTCCGCCTGAGGGCCCGAGACCTGTCGCTCCGCCTGGGGGCCCGAGACCTGTCACTCCATCTGGGGGTCCGGCGCCCGCCGCTCCGCCTGAGGGCCCGAGACCTGTCGCTCCGCCTGGGGGCCCGATTCCTGTCGCCCCTCCTGGGGGCCCGATGCCTGTCGCCCCGCCTGGGGGCCCGATGCCTGTCGCCCCGCCTGGGGGCCCGACGCCTGTCGCCCCGCCTGGGGGCCCGACGCCTGTCGCCCCGCCCGGGGGCCCGGTGCCTGCCGCCCCGCCCGGGGGCCCGGTGCCTGCCGCCTCGCCCGGGGGCCCGGTGGCCCCGCCCGGGGGCCCGGTGCCTGCTGCTCCGCCCGGGTGGCCCGCTGCCTGCTGCTTCGCCTGGTAATCCGATGTGCCTCTGCCCGGAGTGCCCTGCCCCCGATGTGCCTGCCCGGAGTCCTGGAGTGCCCTGCCCGATGTGCCTCTGCCCGGAGTCCTGCCCGATGTGCCTCTGCCCGGAGTCCTGCCCGATGTGCCTCTGCCCGGAGTCCTGCCCCCGGAGTCCAGCCCGATGTGCCTCTGCCCGGAGTCCAGCCCGATGTGCCTCTGCCCGGAGTCCAGCCCGATGTGCCTCTGCCCGAGTCCAGCCCGATGTGCCTCCGGAGTCCCCGATGTGCCTCTGCCCGGAGTCCTGCCCGATGTGCCTCTGCCCGGTGTGCCTTTGCCCAATGTGCCCCTGCCCGGTGTGCCCCTGCCCGGAGTGCCGGAGTGCCGCTGCCCGGAGTCCTGCCCGGTGTGCCAGTCTTTGATATCCCGCCAGTTACCAGACCCGGGCGGTGGAACATTTTGCCCAGCTAGGACTGTTTGGAGCGTCCTGAGGCCGCTCCTTGAGGGGGGGGGGGTACTGTCAGGAATGGACTAGCCAGCAATGGTGGGACTCACCTGCCTTTTGATCTGCAGTACCAGGGCTGGCCAGCGGGTGCTCCCAGCAATCAGAGACCCAACTTTGCAGCCAGCTAACACCTGGAACTGATTATGCTGGGGTATTTAAGGGATGGCCAGACTTGCAGACTCTGCCTTGGTGTTGTGTTTTCTCTTGGGCCCTGTATCCTGTTCCTGCTCTCTGTTCCTGTGTGATTCTCTGCTACCTGTTCTGATCCCTGGCTTGTCTGACCATCCCTCTGCCTGACCCTCTGTACTACGCTGCCTGCTACCTGTTCTGATCCCTGGCTTGTGACCCTGACCATCCCTCTGCCTGACCCTCTGTACTACGCTGCTAGCTACCTGCTGAACCTGGCCTGTGACCCCGACCAATCTCCGCTTGCTCCCCCTGTACCTACCTGCCCAATTGATATCGACCCGGCCTGCCTGACGACGCTTGCTTGTATGTACTGTTATCTGTGGGTGGTTGGTTTGGTTTGTTTGCACTGTATTATGTTTAGTATTGCACTGCGTTTATGTTTGTATTGTTAGTGTTAATAAATTATATTGTTTATCACATATCTGAAGTCTGCGTTTCCCTGCGTCAGTCACACACCTCTGGTCACACCTGGGAGCCCTGACAAAATCTTTCTTTCTGAAAGTGTTAAACTGTTTCTAAGCGCTTACCTGCAATTCACGAATTCCTGCCTTTTGAAGAGACGCTACTGTGTTTGTTTACTCCCTGCCCAATTGACCATATTGGACAGGTGACTTTTCAATCATTATAGTGTATTTCTGACAGAGTCCATCTTCTCTGTACATTTCAAGACGGTGGTGGCAGTGTGAAGGGTTAGTGGTGTAATTAACCCAACCCAGTAACAAGCGCATTCAGGCTGCAGGCACCGATTGTGGCCCATTAGCTGGACAATCGCTGTGCAGGGTGCAGATAGGTGGAGCTTTGTTACGCGTGTCACACCGCGGTTTTAGATCGACCGGTCCTTCGATCACGAGTTTGGTGAGAAGGTCTGGGGTCTGATGCCGTGGGCGTGACGTATTACTGTTAGTCGCGGTCGTGCGATTGTCGCATGTTGGTGGCGGTGGATCTGTGACAGCCCTGACTAGAAATAATGCATTGATAGATCTACATATTACAAATAACACAGATCTGATGGCAGAAGTGGAAATAAGGAAAAACTTGGGTAACAGCGATCACAGGGTAATGACATTCAACGTAAGCCATAGTAAAGGAAGGCACAAGGGTACTGCCTAACCACTAAATTTCAGAGATCCGAATCAGGCATCGACTGCTACAACCTTGGCAAACAGACAATACCAGATGCCTCAAAAAATGTAGTCGTGCTCTTGAGTGTCTGAGGCATAAGACCCAGCAAGACTTCAACTATGCTCTCCAAAAACAATTCTTGCCTCCACACTGCCAATCAGACCTATTTTATCACTCTCATTAACACCCTCTCACGCAGTCCCCATCAACTCTTTTCCAGCTTTAACTCTCTACTTCACCGTCCTTCAATACTTCCACCCACTAACTCACTCACTGTCCAGGAAATCACTAATCACTTCAAAAATAAGATTGATACAATTCGTTACGAGATCTCCACTGTACAGATATCTCCCTCATCTTACACTCCTTGTCTACCTGCATGGCCAATACTTCCCTTGTTTAACCCAGCTACTATAGAGGAGTCACTAAACTTTTTTCAAAAGCCCACCTAACCACCTGTCCCCTGGTCCCTGTTGCCTCACAAAATACTATGGTCACCCTCTGGCTCTATCCTACACTCTTTAACTCATATCTTCAATCTCTACATTTCTAGTGGCATCTTCCCCAACCCCAACAATCTTAACAACCCATCTCCTTACTTCATTTTGCCTCCAAACTCCTTGCACGTCTAGTCTACAACCTCCTGAGATGCCACCTCATTGAGAATAACCTTCTTGGTTCCCTTCAGTCTGGATTTCACCCACGAAACTCCACAGAAACTGCTGTTCTAAAACTTTCAAATTATTGACTAACAGCTAAAACCTATTCTATACTCTTACTCTTTGACCTCTCTGCTGCCTTTGATACAGTTGACCACCCCCTCTTCCTCAAAAAACTGTATTTCCTTAACCTTTGTAACTGTACTGTACTCTCTGTTGGTTCACATCTTACCTATCTCACCGCACCTTCAGTGTCACTTAGAACTCTACTTCCTCCTCTGCTAGTCCTCTTACCATCGGGGTCCCCCAAGGTTCTGTCCTTGGACCTCTGCTATCTATCTACACCTCTTTCCTGGGTCAGCTGATAGCTTCCCATGGTTTCCAATACCATTTCTATGCTGATGACACACAAATCTCTCTCTCTACCCCTCAGCTCACCCCATCAATTTCCTCACATATCACTGATTTAGTAACAGACATATCAGACTGGATGTCACACCTCTTCCTCAAAACTCAATCTATCCAAAAGTGAGTAATATTTCCTCCTTCACTTGCCTCCTCCCCTGATTTTCTCGGTCAAGAACAATGGCACACACTATCAACCCCTTCCCACATGCCAGGGTGCTTGGTGTAACCTTGGATTCTGAACTGTCCTTTCAGGTCCACATCCAGTTCCAGTCCAAATAATGCTGCCTCAACCTCAGCAACATCTC